TGAGTGTTATTGCTGATTGATGTGCTGCCTCATCTGCTGTAGGAGAATTGTTGATGTCAGTACCTTCAAGATCGTCCTGTGATTCACTGGGGTTGGGCCGTTGAGCATTATCCGCATCCGCCGTAATCTGGGCCTCACCACTGCCACTTGTAGAAGTGGATGGTTCTGTATTTCTCGCTTGACTTCCTGGAGATGAATTTTCCATCAATCCCTCTGTGGTTGTGTTTTGACCTTGTTGCTGTAACACATTATCCTCTGAAGGAATTTCCGGTGTCTTGGACTCCTTTTTAGTTGTTAAAATTGACGGTTTTTGCTCTTGACCTTTTGTGGTCTGTGGGACATTTGGTGCTGGTAGGCTTACATTGCTTGGTGATGGTTCTTTTCCTGGAGGTGCCGGTTCTTTTGATAGAACTGGTGATGTCACCGCCGATGGCGGTGCTGGCGGTGGTGTTTGGTTGCTGGAATGGTCTACCTTCCCCACATCATTTTGCTGATTCCGCTCTCCAGTTGAAGCCTTACCATTAACTGAAGTTGGTGCTGCTGCTTGTGTGAAGGAGGGATCTTTGTCTTCTTCTTTGGGTTCCGATTTATCCTGTGTTTCCACTTTGGGCGGTGTATCCCCTGGAGACGCTGTTGATCCTGGCTCCGCAGCTGCTTCAGGAGATATCGTCTCCTCAGTGGATAAAGAAACTTCTGTGTTCTGTGACTCACCAACCCCATTGGGAATGCGAGGTGAATGGGGGTCAACTGAGGGAGGAGACTGCAAAAAACCACCACCACCACCTTTGGGATCTTCACTTGTGTTCCTGTTACCGTCACTTCCACCAGCAGAATTGCCACTGCCGCCAGAAGTTACACCGCCTCCTCGACTACCTCCAGCTCCACCTACACCACCAGAAACAGAACCGGCAGCAGCAGCACCTGAAGGTGAAGCTGGATTACCTTCAACAACATCAGAAGCATCATCGTTAGTCGAGGCTTCAGCGGCGGTGATGAACGAGACCATACGCGAAGGCAGCGAGATCGCAACCTTATCACATACGCTTGGCACACGCAACCGATTCGCACCTAAAACTCCCGACGCCATGCAATCACCCACTGCGTTCTTGTTGTCGAGCTCCCTCGCATAAACCCCACAGGCACCGCACCACAGCACGCAGAGGGCACACACCAGCAGCACACGGCCAGTCATCGTCATCGCCATCACTCCTGTCACTTGCGTTTAGCCTTCAGCACAAACTAACTCCCCGTCAACGCAGAGTGAAAGCAACAAAAGGAGAGACAAGTCACACGGCCGCTACACCACGCTCAGCCACCTCACAATGACAAATAGCAGCAGCCCAGCAGCGCACACACACCATATGGCAGTTGAAAGCAGTGAAAGGGCAAAAACGCACACAACGCCCCACAGCAAGTAAACAGAAACAACACACGAAGCAATTAAAAACAAAACACAGGTAAACGTACAGCAATGAAGTGAAAAATGCAAAAACTCACACAAAAAAAGAGACTACACAGTATGGATCCAGTGCGCATGCACCCATCCTCAAATGTGATTCCACGCAAACAGTTGTGTGCGTGCAATGAATATGAGTTTGTCCGGGGTGCGTTCAACGTGACGGATGCGGGGAGCGGAATGGAGCACACAGCACGGCAGCGGAAGCAAATGAAGCAAAACACAATCATTATTTTCTATTATTTACTCACATCGGAACACAGTAGACGCATACAAATCCCCGTGGTTGAGTGCTGGCACGCACAGCGCGCATACAATTCTTCAGCCCACAGTTGTGTACGCCAGCGCGCATGCGGCGAGCAGCAGCGGGGCACACACCCACGCAGAGCTGCTGAGGCTGCCGTCGATTTCGCGAAGACGTGACGGTGCGCGGGTGGTCGTCGTAGTTGGTGCCTCCGTAGTCGTAGTGCTTGGTGCCTCTGGCGCAGTGGTGGTAGTCGTGGTGGTCGTGGTCGTAGTTGGTGCCTGTGTTGTAGTCGTCGTCGTGGTCGTCTGGGCAGAAGCTTCCGCGTCCTGATCTGTTTCGCCTGCGGATTTATTAGTGTCAATTTGTAACCCTGGCGTACCGGTCAAACTTTGTCCCGCTCCGGCATTTTCTCCTGGATTCTCAGCCGCCTCAGTCACTGGTGGTGCTGGCGACCCTGACTGACCCTTCACCTGTCCTCCCTCTGTTGAGGAGGACGATGAAATTGTGGGGGTTAAAGTAGCATCAGGAACTTGAACCGTTTCAGAATCTGCCGCGCACACTAACGGGCAGCAGCACAGGGCGAGCACCAACAGGGCGCACAGCAAACGGCACATTGTCATCATCGTGAGTGTGGTCGTTCAGTGGTGTGGAGCTGATCTGCACAGTGAGGGAAATGGAGAGCAACAGGGGAGACGAGAGGTGCGGCAGACACACACAGAGGGCACACCACATGAGGAGAGGGCAGCAGCCAGGCATGCACCGTACGCCGCACACCACGCGGATTGTTGGTCCACGGGAAGTGCAGCCAATATTCATCACAAAGCAACTTATTCTCTTGTTTTGGTTGTATGATGTCGCAATAAAAAGTGAGTAGCGCAAGACCCGTCCGTACAAAAGTTGCGATTATTCCATCGCAAGCGGGCTGTCGTGCGGGCTGGGGCAGTCCCAAATAGTCGCAGTCCAGATTCCCAATGACGAGGGCATTCCCGCAGTGGATGAAGCGGAGTCTCCCGTGGTTCGTTGGGGGATCAGCAGCCCGTGGCGTCTGTGACGAGGCGGTGGCGGAAGTGCCTGGCCCATCTCGAGTGCCCGCGTTTGTGCTTCCTGCGTGTCTTGCCTGCTGGCACGCCTGACGCTTTCTGTGGCGACCCGTGCGCGATGCGCCTGTTAGGATGACGGTGAAACAGTCGCGGCATCCGCATGTGAGGCTCTCTCAAACCATTGGAACGCCAGGCCGAGCACGTCGGGCATTTGCCCTCATATTGTGGACGGAAGAGAGCACTCTGACAAAGATTCGGCATGTGGACTTCAATCCGCCGCTCGCTGGTCGACAAGGAGTTGCGGTGCTCACGTCGGGAAGAAGCTCCGGAAGAGGCGGACAGGCGGGCCATTCTCCTCAGCGTGAGAGAGCGGCACCACCGACACAGAGGGTTCCTTGTGATCCGCAGGGCGCGTGCAGGCCTGCCGAAGAGAGGGCAGGAGTCGCATCGCGCCTGGGCGGAGATCCGCCACTTCGGGACCGATGTCCGGGTCAACACCAGGAATGGAGTTCCGCCACACCGAGAAGCGCCTGTCATGCGATGTGTGCGCCTTCCTTTTCATCCTGGAATTTCTTTCAGTACGGTCGCCTTACTGCAGTGAGGAGGCCCACGTGACAGGCAGTGACGCAGTCCTGCGGGAGAGATCGTGGCATGATGGCATCAGCGTCCGCTGTCACGCTGCGTGGGATTCCGCGGTGCCAGGGGAAAATGTTGAGCCAACTGTGTGACCTCGATCCTCCAGTGAAAGCGGCACGGTACAAATCTCTTCGGTGAAGTCGTCGTGCACCGCCAGCGGGCCAAGGCATAGCGCCTCCATCGCCGAGAGGGTATCTGTGGCAGCAGGAACTCGTGTGGGCGATTGGGATGCTGCTGCCAGACGGGGAACTAGGAAGTGTCTGTGGCCATGCTCAGTGGCAGGACACTCCGCTCGGCAGGAGCATGCAAGGCTGCCAGCGGCTGCGCGGTGAGGCCCCACAGGGAGCGCCGCTGTCCGGGGAGTCGGGTGGCAGCGCGGCGGATCCAGACGACGCTCAGCGAGATACAACGAGCCGTCCACCGCCAACACAGTCGCCAGCGAATAACAAGACGTTGGCCACGAATAGGGCACGTATGCCCGCACTGCCGTGGGCACGGATAGCGGCCCCGATTCACTCAGCAACAGTGATCTAATGTCCTTGGATGGTACAACAGCCACGCCTGAGCCCAGCACAGTCCTAGCAAATGTTGAACGAGTGATAACGTGTCGGGTGGCGGTGATGCCGCACAGGATTATTTGCGCACAACGTCGGAGAAACCAGAGATCCCTTCGGAGCCCGACGCGGCATCACTTGTGAGCAACGGTTTTTGTGAGCACGGGCATTTCACGGATTTTTTGGCCATGGCCGAAATTTGTGACAGCACCGTGCATGGGTGTGTGCCTCGGGTGTTGTTGCTTCTGTTTCTGGGGCTGTGAGGCGCTGCGGCACTCTGCGGAGGTGTGAGGGAGGGTGGAACTGCGGTTTTTCGTGGAACAATAACTGTGCAGCTTGCCAGCATTACCCACTGAGTTTTGTCAATAATTTAAGTTTTTTTTACTTTCTTTTAGTTATTTATTTTTGCTGCTTTTGCCCTATTGGAATAATCAGCATCCCTGTGTTTTCCCCCAATGCTAGTTTGCTGTACGTTTTCATGAGTGACATGTTTCTTCTTTTTGTCTTGTTTTTTGTTGCCCACACGCGGTGACGGCCTCATTGCTGTGCGTCCCGCGGACTGCAGAAGAGGAGGATTGGAGAGAAAGGCCGGATGCCGCACGAAATGTGAGGGATGTTGTGTGGGCTCGTGAAGCAGTATAATCATTTTTTTTTTTTTACTTTAATTTATTTTTCTTGGTGCGGGCAATATGTATATACAAAAACACAAGTTCGTTTACATTGCGTTGCTTGGCACATGAAATAAAAATTATGCCGAATGAATTTCTCTAATTGTTTCCGGGAGCCCTGCCGGACACTTTATTGTGCTTTGTGTTTTTTTCAGCTTTTTTAGCTTTCTGTTTGCGGGTCGGTGTGCGAGTTCTGCTGTTTGTTACTTTGGCTGTGAGTGGTTGTGTGACTTTTATTTTCTTTTTCCTTCGGTTCTGCGTTGGCGGGGAGTTGGTTTGTGCTGAAGGCTACACGCAATTGACAGGAGTGATGGCGATGATGATGACTGGCCGTGTGCTGCTGGTGTGTGCCCTCTGCGTGCTGTGGTGCGGTGCCGGCGGTGGTTTTGCAAACGATGAGAAGTCAGGTCCTGGGAATCGTGCTGAACTTCCGCTTGCATCACAAGGACCTGAAACAGCTCCACAAGATTCCCAAGGGTCACAAAATAGAGCACCAGGTGAGGAAGAAAATTTAACTTCCGTACTTGGAGAGGAAGCTGATGGTGATGATGTTGATAGAGAGAAAAAAGCGGAAGAAGAAGAAATTACTGAAAGGCAGGGCAGTGAAGGAGGAACAGCTGCAATAGGCTCAGATTCCAGGGAAACGAATTTAAGTGACAGCGAGCAGGAAACAGGCCAGCCAATTGTACCTGCAGGGAGCATTTCTCCTTCCAACAGTCAGGAATCAAATGCCAATCTTACGCAAACGGAAGTTGAAGGAAAAAAGGAGCCCGACAAAAATACAACAACAGTAGAGGGCGCACTCACAACAGTTAACGGAGAGCACACACTGCCTGCGGGAATAGCGGAAGGAAATCTTCCACCACCTACAGAAGACAGTGTTGATTCCCGCGAACAGGATGGCGAAGACGCCACGAGTGAAGGTAAAAAAAATGCTTCGTCGCCTGAGACCGCGGCCACACCACAAAGAGACCGAGAAAAAGGCTCAGAAGGAACTGGAGGAGATACAAAAGCAACGACAGTAACCGCCAACACAACTGATACGACGAGCACACAAAACAGTGACGGCAGCACCGGCGAGTTCTGCAATCGCACTGATTCCATCTGTTTCGTGGTTTGTGCGGCTGCGGCTGCGGTGGTGGCCGCGTGAGAGTGAGTGTGAGAGAGCCATGCACCGCCCGCACACACACTCTTCCTTCTCTCTCTGTGTGTGTGTGTCCCCTTGCATGGACTCTCGCCCTCACCTCACCCCACGAGACACACACAATAATGTGCCCATTGTATATATGCATGCACACCCATGCAGGCCCGTTGGTGCTCTCTTTTGCACGACACGCACCGCTGCCGTCCTGCCTGGCTGCATGGGCGGAGCACCGTAACTGTTTCTGTTTTGTTTTTATTGCATTGAGTGGGCGACCTCTCTCTCTCTCCCTCTGTGTGTGTGTTTTGCTTTACGGGAGTAATGAGAGTGTGTGCGCTGGTCGTCCCACGCTTCGGCTTTTTGTTTTGTTTTCCTTTTTGATTTTGTGGTTGAGTGCACCCATTCCGCGGCTGCGTGTGTGTGTGTGTGTGCGATGATATGAGTAATTTGCGTGTGTGCTATCTGCCTCTCTCTGCCGTTGCTTTCTTCAGACTCTCTTGTGGCGCACAGCTGCTCCGCAAGTATAGGCGCTGCCAAACACACAAGCACATGCACACACACATGCCGTGTTTAAAACGCTGAGAATGCACACACGCACAGGATTGTGGCTGCGGCGGTTGCTGTTGCGAGAGGGGCTTACGTCTGCGATTTGTCTCGTTGACGTGTTTCTGTAGTTATTTTGGCGGCGTGCAGCCAGTGAGGGTGGCTGGGACGAGTGCTGTTTTTTTTTTGCCACCCACCTGCAGCACGTTTCAGTGTGCCTCTTTTGCTTTCCATCGACAGGTGGCGGATTCTTCGGTTGTGCGGGGTGATGTGCGCCAGCGGCGGAGCGGGTGCGATGGAGGGACAGGAATTAAACTACAGGCGGCAGCGTGTCGGTGTTTCGAGGGCGGCTGTGCTCTTTTGCATCTCGCTGGTTGATTGTGTGTGGGCGTTTTTCTGGTTGTTCAGTGTGCTGACGCGTGACGAACAACAAGATACCCGCCGTGACTCCTGCTGCTGGTGGCAGTCGCTGTGTGTTCCCGGTGCACTGTTCTTTCTTCTCGTTCCGTGTGTCTGTTTGCGTGAGTTGTTGTTGTTGGGAGTGACTGCGGCGGGGATGATGGTGCCACTCACTGTGGATGGGTGACGGTGTTCACTGTTTCCTTCTTTTTATTATCCTGTTTTTCCTCATTTCTTTCACACTCTTACGAAGAAAGCAAACAAGCGCGAATTGCTACTGTGAAATTCGAAGGCACTGAAAGGACCAACGGCACACACACCGCCCACACACACATATTAATATGCTCTCAAGTGTTGCTGTGAAGGCACCCCGCACGCACAACCGTCGCCTCGTGACCGGATCCAGCGGAAGGAGGAGGGAGGGAAGAGAGAGTGAGCCGCAGAGGCCCAACATGTCCCGGCGTGTGTTTACTTCTGCGGTGCTGCTGCTCCTCGTCGTGATGATGTGCTGCACCGGTGGTGCTGCATCCAGTCAGGACGTGCCTTCAGCTTCGGGATCTTCAAAGGGGGAACGTTATGTTTGGAGAGACGTGAAGGAGGAAGAAAAAGTGGGTTTGCTTCGTGTTCCCGGTCTTGTTGAGATAGATGGTGATGTGTTTTCCGTTGCCGAGGCGCAGTGCACGGAAGCCGGCAAGAACGTTTTTAGTGGGATTGCCTCGGAGCCCCTGGTATTGGCTGATCAAAAAAACCCAAAAGAGTTGGATACAACTGCAGTAACGACACAAGTGCTGGAGGAATGTTCTTCCGAAGAAGAGAATTGTGCCTGCCGTATAGCGGATCAGGCAGTCTCCCAAGGAGTGAAGAGGGTAAATGTGAGCCGACCGACAACAGTTGTGAAGGGAAGCGATATTTACATGCTTGTTGGGAAATATAGCAGTGAAGATGCTGCCGGATGTCAGGGTGGGGCTGACGCGGCTCCATGGGGACTTTTGCTGGTGAAAGGGCACGTCAGTGGTACTGAAGGAGGCAAAAACATACACTGGAACGATACTCACGCTATCCCGTGCACTTTTTTAAGCCAACAACACGAATCCTTGACAGGACTTATTGGTGGCGGTGGATCGGGTGTTCACACGGGAGACGGTACGCTTGTGTTCCCAGTGGAAGGGACGAAGAAGATAACGAAGGATGCCACTGAGGTGAATGTAAACACCGTTTCGTTGATCATATTAAAGGATACTGCGGGTTGGACGCTGTCGGAGGGGCTGTCCGCCGATGGCTGCAGTAATCCATCCGTCGTGGAGTGGAAGGACGGAAAACTCATGATGATGACTGCGTGTGATGACGGCCGCCGCAGGGTGTACGAGTCCGGTGACAAGGGGGATTCGTGGACAGAGGCACTCGGGACACTCTCGCGCGTGTGGGGCAACAAACACGAGGGAAATGTGAAGGGCGTTGGAAGCGGGTTCATCACAGCGAAGATTGAGGACAGGGACGTGATGCTCGTCACTCTGCCTGTGTATGCCAAGACTGAGAGCGAAGAAAAGGAAAAGGAAAAGGGCGTACTCCATCTTTGGCTAACGGACAATACGCACA